GTTTCAGCCAGACTTTCAGGAACATGTTTTCTGTTGTGCAAGTGCATGTGAGCAGGACGGCATGTGCAGTGACACGAGTGCATGTGAGCTAGGAACGTCTGCAGGAACAGCGCATGGAACAACATGTTGTGAGATGCTTTCGCAGCTCAAGGAACTCTGCGGAACACTCGCGGAACGCTCAGGTATCCAGGAACTAGTTCGCCCGGTAGCAGAAGGTCAAGGAAACCTTCCAGGAACCTTAGCAGCCATGGAAGCAAGCGCGAGTTCGAGCAAAAGCACCGAAGAAGTGTTCAAGGAACTTTCTACCTTGAGAGAGGCGGCAACCGCCTTAAGGAACGCTTCAGAAGAAAGGAACTTGATCGCGGAGTCGATCAGGAAGAACACAGAGGAAGCTGCGCGTTTGCGCAAAAGCCAGGAACACGTGGCTGGTTGTGTGGAGTCCTTGACAGGACAAATCTACGACGTCAAGCACCAGGTTCAGGAAATGGCCGAACAGAACGACAGAGACCGGCAACAGGTCAAGGAACACATGGCCTTCGTCCTAGGTACATGCGACGCCGTAAAGGAACAGCTGAACCAGATGATGCAGGACTTCTACGAGCAGCAGCAAGAGGAACAAGAAGAAGAGGAAGAAGAAGAAGAAGAACAAAGGAAAAGAGAAGCCAAGGACCGAGAACTAGAAGGTGAACTACGTCGTGAAGGACACGGACAAGGAACAGCACCGTCGAGAGCTACGTCACCTACGTCCCAGGAAAGAAAGGAATATTCGGACCGAGGCTACTTCGAGGGCATCCAGGAACGAGAGCAGGACAACGAGAACGAGAACGAGGCCTACGTCAGCAGCTACGTTGGAGGAGAAGATCCCGGGGAGTACCCCGATGAAGGAACAGCAGCAGCAGCAGAGGAAGAAGAAAGTGAGGAAGCAAAGGAAGAGAGAAGAAAGAAGAAGATCGCGGAGATCAACGCCAAAAGCAAGCAAAGGCTCAAGGAAAAGGAAGAGGAGAAGAAGCTCTTTCCGTACCCCTACGACTACGCCAGCGAATGGAAGGAATACTCCGAGAACGGCGAGATCTACAGGCAACACAGAGTTACAGGAGAAAAGCAGTGGGTCGACAAGGACTACACGTACAAGCACGAGAAGGGAACAAAAGGAAAGAAGGAAGGAAAAGGAAAAGGAAAGCCAAAGGCAAGAGCAGAAAGCACAGGATTTCGACCTCGAGATGAAGATGATCGCAAGTACTGGGACGAACAGGACAGGATCTCAAAGGAACAAAGAGAAGCAAAAGCAAAGCAGAAGAGGAGAAGAAGGCAAAAGAGGAGCAGATTGCCAAAGCAAGGCTGATTCTGGAAGCGGCAGCAGACGAGCAGGAGAAGAGAGACAAGGAAGCAGCAAGGCAGGAAGCAGCCGCAGCCGCCGAGAGAAGGCGAGAGGTAGAAGCAGCAGCCAAAGCCAAAGCAGAGAGAGAAGCAAAGGAAAAGGAGGAGACCGAAGCGGCAGCAGCAAAGGAGGCAGAGGAGAAAGCAGCAGCCGCAGCAGCCAAAGAGGAAAAGGAAAGAAAGGAGCAGGAGAAGAAAAGAAAGGAGAAGGAGGCCAGGAAGAAAAGAGAGGAAGATCAAAAGGCAGCGTCAGCGTACATTGCCAAGAAGGAAGCAGAAAAGAAGGCAGCAGCAACAACAGCAACAGGATCAGGTGAAGGAGACAGGATCCAGAAGCTTGAAGAAATGATGAAGGAGATGATGAAGGAACGCAAAGAGGATAAAGAAAGGATTGCAAGCCTTACACAGGAGCTTGAGAGCAGAGGATCAGCAGCCGGGTCGCAGGCACCCACAGAACCTGACACAACACCAGCAAAGGAAGAGGAGAAGCCAGAAGCAAAAGGAACAGGAAAAGCAACAGGAAAGGAGCCACCGAACGTCACACAGCACAAGCAGAAGGAAGAAGACAAGGACGACCCAGAACTGTCCGCCAAAGGACCAGTGAACGAAGCATCGTTCATGAAAGGAAAAGGAAAAGGAGAGTTTGAAGGAAACTGGTTTGCAGTCTACAGTTTCCAGAACAGGAAATACCAGTGGAAGTGGAACGAAGCCAAGTCACAGTGGTACTGGTATTCAGGATCAAAGGAAACAGGATGGAAAGCAGCGTCAAAGGACAAGCAAGGAAAGGAAAAGTGCAAAGCGCAAGCAAAGATGAAAGAAGAGTGGCTAAAGGAACAGCTTCACGACCAAGAGGAAGCTAAAGACAGCGAAGAGGAAGGCAAAGTGAACTTCCAGTGAAGCAAAGGAACCGCGAGCAGTACTGAGGCCAGAGAGCCGAGGAAAGAAGCAGCAGGACACAGGAACCGTGGCACAGCCCTTTTTGTTTCTGTGGTGATCTAGGTAAAGTGCAGGAACGTCTTTTGTACAGTCGAGCAACCTTGCTTCTTGGGCTTGCCCAAAGGCATTTTCCAAATCATGAAAGGGGCTGGTAGGGTGGGCCTCTTTTGAAACCAATGATTTTGGTATTTTCCATTGCTTGAAGCATTCTCTTTTTGCATGCTAGGTTTTGCATGCTCACGTCATGCCCTTTTGAATCGTGTTGGACGATTGACATCTTTGCTTCATATCAGTTATGCTCGAGCCCGGAGGTGGGGCAATGTTTTTGTTCGGGTGGGACGCAGCCATGGATGCAGGCTGACAGCGATGCCGGTTGCTAGAGAAGGCTGGGGTCACTTCCCACCTGTCTTACGTGAGGGTTTGCAAGCTGCTTATGGACATCCGCTTGTTGCTTGGGAGCTCCTTGATAGCGACGAGGGGCTGGAGGATTTATTGACGGCTGCAAATCTTTCAGATCCAGAGGTTACTTCGGCATGCCGTGATGCGTTGCGGAAGCTTCGGGATACTGGAGCAGGGGCCAAGAGACAAGCATACTTCCGGCAATGCACCCTCATGCGGTGCCCCAGGCTGCCGGGTTCGTCTGATGAGCTACGAATTATGCAAGACTGTTTTCAGGACATTTCTTCGGTGGTAGGACAAGTCCAGAAGAATCGCCGTCGAAGTCACCTGGGCATGTCCCTCCAGGCGGGCATAGATGATCCTGAACAGCTGGAGCAACAGGAACGTGGTAGGTGGCAGCGTGTTCTGGCAGGTTATATTGAGGAGGCTGATCTTCCTGTTATGGAGCTCATTCGTTCAAGTGAGACACCCTCTCAGGTCTGGTCCAGGATTTTGGTAGCCGCCGTGCCAAGACACTGAGGAATCGGGCTAAAACTTGGAAGGGTTTTCATTTGTGGCTTACGTTGGTGAAGAGAACCTCCTGGCCTCAGAGTGTACTGGATGTTACAGATTATCTGGAGCATCGTATTGCCGAAGGATGTGGTGTCAGTGTCCCTAGCAATGTACTCTCTTCACTGTCTCTGCTGGAGAACGTGGGAAGGATTGCAGGGGACGGCCGTCTCGGATCAGATCCCACACTGAACGATATGGCTAAGGCAATGGGGGAGGAGCTGGAGAGAGGCGCGCCGCCCAAGAAACCAGCTAAGTTGTGCACTGTTGCAATGCTTGTCTCCATGGAATTGCTTGTTATCGACGATGAAGCGGCGCCCTTCATGCGCATTCTGGCATGGGTCGGGCTGCTTATGCATTGGGGAACCCTTCGTACTGATGACGTGCAATGGTTGGATGTCTGCCGCATGGTCTTCACGGATAATGGGCTCACGCTTGTTTTGAGGCGCTCCAAGACGACGGGGCCCGGGAAAAAGGCTAGGGAGGTTCCGGTCTTTATTCTCCGGACCCTCTCCCTGTCTGGTCATGATTGGCTTCGTGTAGGATTGGAACTATTTCAGCAGCCAGCGTTTTACTGGGAACGCCCCTACTTTGTGGCTGCACCCACTAAGGACTATTCAGGATGTGTCCGAAAGTTTCTCAAGCCAGAGCAGCTCTCATTGCACCTTAGGGGCTTGTACACGCATTTGCTGGGGCCACGTTTCGATGGCTCAGTCTGGAAGGCTGATGATTTCTATTTGGTTCCGGTGGATGTTCAGAGTTTCTGGAGTGGGCATTCTGCCCGCCACTGGCTACCTTCCTGGGGTACAGTGCTGGGGGTTCCGAAGTGCGACCTGGACTATTTAGGCCGGTGGCAGGCAGGAGCGCATCAGAGCATGGAGTACGTCGTTAAGGCACGGGAGGTTGTCTATCGTGTCCAGAAGCGTGTGAATGAAGCACTCTGCCTGGGACACGAGTCTGTTAGTGAGCTCGAACTTTTCGAGGATCTCAAGCGGTACTGTGCCGACCGAGGTGTGAGTTCTTTGCGAGGGGTGACAGGTCATCAAATCTGGCGAAGGTCTGATGCAGGGCACTTGGCTCTCTTGACACGCTTCCCACTGCTTATTGCTACCCTGGCAGTCGATGATAGAGCTGAGGCAGCGTTGGTAGCCGGCTCAGAACCTGTGTCAAATCAGGAGGGCCGCTTCTGGTATTCCATTTCCAGGCGCACGGGCTTCAGGCGTTTGCACCTTACCAACGGGTGCGGTGTGCTTCCATGGTCGGTGCACGAAGCAGTTTTCGTTGCTTCGGTAGAGGAGGCCAAGGCCGACGCATGGTGTAAGATTTGCCAGAGAAAGATCGCAGAGGAAGAAGGCTCTGCTTCCTCCTCCTCTGGTAGCTCCAGTAGCACGGCTACGGAGGAGAGTGAAGGGGTTGCTGAGGAGGGCAATCTTCAGGATGGGCCGCCTTCCTTTGAGTGAGGGGAAAAATTTACCGCACTTGTGCGTCAGGTCGGTTCTTTCCTCGAGGAAAAATTTACCGCACTTGTGCGCCGTGTCAGTGCTTGCCGCTGTCATGTTGCTGAATTGATTGGTGACTCGAGTGTGCCTGTTTCCTTTTGCGTCAATCATTGCAGTCTTCTGCCGAATGTTGGCATATGGTTTGAGCAGCTGCCACGGCCGAAGGGAAGGTCGTATGTGAGTGGCAGCCAAGCAAGGGTGCCCTTGGATCGAGGGAGATCCGTAGGATTTCAGTGAGGGATGGCGCTCACAGATGAGAATCGAAGGACCTTCTTGGCACAGAATGTTAGTGCCGACTTGGTTTATCTTTGGGAGGAGCTGAATGTCTCTCTGCTACACCAGTACGAGTTGGGGCAGAATTACCGTTCCATGGTCAGGTTCGCTGCACTGGCCGACACACGGGCTGGTGCGAGAGCTGCTTTCGCCAGTGATGTAACGGTGGATCCGGACAATGCGGCCGGCCGGGCGGCTCTGGCAGGACTGGTTGCTGCCTGGCAATCCGCTCTGGACACCACGGAGCAGGAGAGAAAGCTCAAGGCAGAGGCACACGTTTTGGGGTTGCCAAAACCCCTTCCAGCCAATGATCGTCTGGCCATGCGTGTGGCTCTTGAAGCTTCTTTAGGATCCTTGGAAGATCGTGAAGAACCTAGCTCAACTTACCTGGCATTGAAAATGGAGGAGGTTGAGGCTGGAGAAATCAAGGCTTCGCTCTTGGATGAAGTTACTTGTACGGTGGATGAAGTGAACGCTAACTTCCAGTCGTCCGTGGACTCCTCCGGCAGGTTGCGCCTCACTAAGGAGCGCAAGAAGGCCAAGCTACCGACCGGGTCTGAAGAGCTCCGTCAGAGGCTTCGAGTGGAGGCTCACACATTTCTGATGCTTGCCGCACGCTTTCGCAACAAAGCATGGTTTCAGGGCTTGAGCTCCAAGGATTTTCTTCTGCATGTTGACTACGTACTGGGCGACAAGATCTACTTGTTGCAGACAGTACGTCCTGAAGGGGGTCCCGCTATGTCTTGGGCGAATCCTTCTTGGCAACTTGTACTTAACTACGAACATCGCTTGAGAAAGGAGGCTTACAAGCAGGCCAGCCGAAACAATCGATCCTTGACCGACACACTCAAGGAGGCCAGGGACAACGCCATGCTCAAAGAGACCTATTTCGTCGGGCCCTTGGCCATGGAGATGGCTTCGCGTGCATCGTTCTCAGCCGGGCCGCCTGCAAAGTTTCAGAAGATTGATGGGGCGCCGCCGCCGCCAACCCCTGATCCTAGCTGGGACCGTGATCGCAAAGGGAAGGGGAAGGGCAAGGGCAAGTTTCTTGGTAAGCCTTCCAAGAATGGCTTCGTCTTCCGCAAGACTCCTGACGGTCGCGAAATCTGCTATGGCTACAACAATGGGTCTTGTCCGGGAAATTGTGGGCGCGTTCATGTGTGTCAACTTTGTCTTAAGCCACATCCCCGCAGCGAGTGTAAGAACAGAGGTGACAAGGCCGATGGGCCAGATTCCAAGAAGGGCAATAAGCCCAGCTGACTCGAAGGTTCTTCTTGGGAAGAGTGGAATTCAGTGTCTGGGATTGCTTCCCGAACTTACAGATTCTTGTATCTCTTCGCTGGGCCTTCTCGCCATTCGGATGTGAAGAGCTACCTCGTGGAGCTTTCCCGGAAGCATGATATCAACCTTTTCGGACTGGAGATTGATCTCACTCGCAGTACAGAGCATGATCTTCGGTCAACAAGTTTGTGGGCCACGCTGTCCGAGCTTCTTAAGGAAGCCGATGCCGTTGTGCTGGCCCCTCCTTGCAACACCTTTTCGAGGGCGAGGGCGCGCTGGAGAATATCTCCGGGGCCACCGCCCTTACGTTCACTTGAGTACCTGCATGGCTTTCCTTGGTTGTCTGATTCCAACAGAAATCTTGTTGAGGATGCCAACTTCCTTGTTTCAAAGTCCTTTGAGTTTTGCCAGCTTTGTGTCGAGGCTGGCGTAGCCTTCATCATTGAGCACCCAGAACAGTTGGGAAAGGTGCAGCACATGATTCCTGGGTCCATTTGGGACATGGACGATAGCAAGCATCTGCTCTTGTTCGAAGGCGTGGAAACCTTCGCTTTCTTCCAGTGCCAGTGGGGCGATGCTCTCAGTAAGAAGCCCACCCGGTTTATGGCTTTCCATGTTCACTGGGACTCTTTCACCTTCTTTCCTGGTGCTCATCGTCTGGCTTCGGATGGCTCATATGCAGGACCTCTTCCTCGCCACTGTGGGCATGTACATGAACCTCTTCTTGGAAAGGATTCCGACGGTGATTGGAAAACTTCGCGATCTGCTGCCTATCCTCCTAATATGTGCCATTGGCTGGCCGCCAGCTTGCTTGGTCTTCGCGTTGGGGGGGGTTCTGCAGCAAGTGGCGCCCGCATGACGACCTCCCAAAATCTAGCTGCTGCTGTTTTGCAGCCTCCGGAGCTTTTTGATTGGCAATGGGCTCCCTGGTCCTTGGCAAAGGTGGCACTCCTAGGGGAGCCCTCATGTTCCTTGGAGAGCAAGTCTCGGGAGATCGCCATGTCTGGTAGAATTTCTCAGGCCGACATGTTTGCCCTTTGCGACCTGATCACCGACGAGGAGACAGGCCGAGGACGCAGGCCAGGGGAGTTGCCTACGGAGAAACTCTTTACCAGCGGGGCTTACGTTCATGGCGGTGTCTGTGGCTTGCGCAAGCACTGCCGGGCCTCTCCTTGGACAACCGCCCTGCTGGCTTGCATCATCAACTGCGTTTGTCCTGGCTCTAAGTTCACTTCTGTCTTGCTGGGCAGGGACATAAAGACGGGGCCCCATAGGGATGAGAACAACGAACCTGGCAGCCACAACATCGTAGTCAAGGCTGCTTCCTTCTCGAGGGGCGGCCTGCTGCTGGAGGACGAGACTGGTGACCAGGAGATGATCGTGAATGGTCAGCTCCGGCAGTTCAGGGTGTTGGGGTTTGTTGATGGGTTCCTAAGGTTCGACCCTTCGCTCTGGCATGCTACCGAGGACTGGGAAGGCACTCGAATCGTGGTCATCGGTTTCTCGATCAGGGATCCGCTTAAGCTTAAGTCCGAGGATCGAATTTACTTGGAACGGCTTCTAGGTGATGAGGATCATGGGGACACGGGGCCTACACGCTCTACTTCTTCAAAGGTCAAGTCCCCCGACATTGAATACCCATTTCACGGCTACATGGAGGCCGCGAGGAGCTACAACTACGGGGACCCACTCACGGTTAGCTGGCGAGGTCTACATCAATCCATGTGTGACGGTTGCGGACTGAACAGTCCCGGAAGGTGGCGACCGGGGTCCCGAGGCCTGGGACTCCCTTGGGAGGCGAGTGATCTTGCGCAGAGGATTCACGGACTGCTTTTGAGGTTCGTCTCGGAGAACATTGATGACACCAAGAAGGCTTTCTTCCGTTTGGCTCTGGGCAGGATGACTTCGGCCCCCTTCAGTCCGGAAAGCATGGAGCACTTGCGTGATGAGTGGTTTCGGCTGCTTCCTGACTCCAAGGCCGCCTCTAAGGTGGCGGAGGGCCAACCATTCTACTTGGAGGCGCTTTCGCAGACTAGTCGGCTTCTTGGGGATGAGGACTGGGGGATTCTGACGAGGGATCCGGAGAACTACGCTTCGGGGCGCAAAGTGGGCGTCGACTCACCCTTCCCGAGGGTCCCTCTGGTGTTCCGGCCGAAGAAGAAGTGGAGAGACTATGATGATTCACCTTATCAGGCGATCAACGCTAACTACTCCTCTGCAGCTCTGGTTCCGGATCAGTTGGAGGCACAGTTCGAGGAAGAAGAAGCTCTTGGTATGATGTTTCCTTTGAGCGAGGCTGAGGCACGGAAAAGGTTTGGAGACAAGCTACATGTGGCGTCCTTAGGAGCCATCATGAAGGACGATGGCACGGTCCGAACCATCTTTGACGGTACCCACTCCGTGAAGCTTAACAATCGGATTCGCATTGATGATCACTTAGAATTCCCTGGACCATCCTGCGTGGGACGTGCCATGGAGGAGATGGAGGACGATGGTTATCATCTGCTGATTGGGGTGGCCGCGGATGTGGCTAAGGGCCACCGAAGGTACAAACATCGCTCGGAGGACCATGGCTACCTCGGCTGTAGGGCGCGCGAGGATGGTCCCATTTGGTTCAACCGGGTAGGGACCTTTGGCATGGCATGCGCTGCTTATCACTTCGCCAGACTTGTTGGGCTCATTGGGAGGTGTGCACTGACAGTTCTGATGACGAGCCCGCTGTTCCAGTTTCTCTTCGCTGATGACTTGAAGTTCTTCAGTGGGGGTCCCCGTAAGTATGATCATGTCTGGACCATTCTGGTTTTCTGGCTCATGGTTGGGACACCTTTCAAGTGGAGCAAGTTTCGTGGAGGGGTGCAACTTGATTACGTGGGATTCGCCTTTGACTACTTCCGCTTCTCCATGGGTCTTTCGGAACGGAGGGCGAACTGGATCATCGAGTACGTGAATGCTGCTCGACGTGACCGTGGTTTGCTCGACCATCGGAGGTTCGTGGAGTTTGTGGGCCGTCTGGTGTACGCTGGCCAGGTCCTTTACTGGCTTAGGCCATTTATGGCTCCATTGCATCGCTGGAAGGGTGCTCAGGTTCCGGGCACGGTCGCAGTTGCGCCAAGGCTTGTGATGATCACTCTGGAGTACATTCGCTCGATGCTTCTTGAGGGCCACGCTCAGGTTTCATGTCGGGGTGCACGCCCAGCCGAAGCTGAGTCCTTTCGCACGGATGCCAAGGCGGCCGAGGACTTTTATGTTCTGGGAGGTTGGGAGACTTGCCACTCTCTTGATCCTGGGCGCGCTAGGTGGTTCTCTCTTAAGGTGCATGCGCAAGAGATACCGGCCCTTTTCAATGACCGCGGCACCGCTGAGGGAATGAGCACTGTGGCGGAGCTGTTGGCCACCCTTGTGGCTTTACACGCATTTGGCTGGCTAGAGACTAGAGGACGATGCTTTTCAGTATCGGCTGGCACGGATAACATGGCTAATGAAACCGTGACGGCCAAGAATAGCACCTTGAAGTTTCCGCTGGCGTATGTGCAGATGCAGTTGTCTCATTCTTTGTATAAATGTGGAGGTCACTTGAAGCTCAATTGGAGGCCGCGTGAAGTTAACACCATCGCGGACGACTTGACAAACGAATCGTTTGGAGCTTTTGATCCCAATCTCCGCATCCTCGTCCGTTTGAAGGATTGTGATCTTAGCTTGCTCCGGAAGTTGTCTCAGCATCATGATGAGGTCTCCAGCTGGAGTCAGAGGGGAGTATGCAGTGCCCCATCTTCTCTTCGCAAGCGGAAGGTTAAGTATGACAAAACCAAGTGGGGCTGAAGGTTGGCCCTCGCCTGTGGGGGGGGGTCCTGACCAAAGGTCACTCGGGCCTCCCTCGTAAGAGCACAGCGCTACGATTGCACATCCAAGGAAAAGTCTGCTCATCCGATGTTGCATTCCGTCTCTTGTGATGAGCTTGCTCCTTATGTGGGATTCGAATCTTTTATATTACATATATTGCGGAGTTATTTATGGCGATAACTTTGCTCGAATGTTTTGCTTTCAGCAATTTTGGAAAAGCTTCTTGGGCTTGCCCAAAGGCATTTTCCAAATCATGAAAGGGGCTGGTAGGGTGGGCCTCTTTTGAAACCAATGATTTTGGTATTTTCCATTGCTTGAAGCATTCTCTTTTTGCATGCTAGGTTTTGCATGCTCACGTCATGCCCTTTTGAATCGTGTTGGACGATTGACATCTTTGCTTCATATCAGTTATGCTCGAGCCCGGAGGTGGGGCAATGTTTTTGTTCCCGCCCATCCCACCCTTTAAGATTCTTTTCGCGCTTGGGAGGGGTGTTTTCCTGAAAACGGGGGGGTCCTGACCAAAGGTCACTCGGGCCTCCCTCGTAAGAGCACAGCGCTACGATTGCACATCCAAGGAAAAGTCTGCTCATCCGATGTTGCATTCCGTCTCTTGTGATGAGCTTGCTCCTTATGTGGGATTCGAATCTTTTATATTACATATATTGCGGAGTTATTTATGGCGATAACTTTGCTCGAATGTTTTGCTTTCAGCAATTTTGGAAAAGGAGAGGATTGCGAGTGAACGTGCGCATACGTTTGCAATGAGGAACAGTGTTTGTTTTGCAAGTGAAAAGGAACTGCAGCGTGTTTACTGTTTGTCCAGGAAAAGTCGGAGTCACCTCAGTCGAGGAACTTTCGCTAACTCCGAAGGCGGGGTGTTAAACATTCTGCCAGGAACAGTAACACAGCTAGTGCAGTACAGTTAATGTACAGGAACAGCCGTCACGCACACGCGACGTGCAGGCTCGAGACCCCAGGACACACCGTGCCCAGGAACAAAAGTGTCCGACAGTCTTTGTGGGTAGGAACCCCCGTTCTTTAACAAGTATTCCACAAAGCTGTCTAGGGGAGCCGACATGAGGCGAACCGGGGGACCACGGCCTTCCCACGCTTTACACCAACGTCAACTGACTTATCAGGTGATCCATCTTTTATCGGCGAGTGGTCACGAATTCCCCTTGTGCGTCGGGTGAGCTTTACCAGCGACTCTAGAAGCGTCCTTTCTGACTAAGCTTTTCCCCACGGTGGCCGGAAAATTTACCCTAGTCCTGCCATCGTCTCACCCGAAAAGGGTAGCGAAGAGCCCTGTATAGTGTATAGACATGTCCATCGTGTATGTAGTTTTTCCGGAACTTGTTCCCCAAGCTATATGCTTCCGCCAACTCTATGTTTTCCCCGCACGTTAGTCCCATTGACAGGGCTGCTGACGAGCGGTCTCACCTGTGGACACGCTCTGCGCGACTGAGAGAGAGAGAGAGAGAGAGAGAGAGAGAGAGATCAGTGACTACAGGTGCTGAATGGTCGCTTCGACTGAAGCGTGAGAATGAAAACATCCGAGCCGCGGATCGCTGTCTGAGCTGAGCCATTGGCCTTTATGCATAGAGGTGCCGAGGTGTCCGCTGTCGAAGGTTGCTCTGAAGTCGATTGTGCCTACTTGCTAAAGCAGACTGGGGGTATTATGACTTGAGGTGCGCGGTTAAACCGAGCACGTCGGGAAAAGAGTTATGGCTCATCTCTTGTGCTGGGCCGAGGGGCCCAGCACCGTGCATCAACCCCAGTTTGCCGATGCGATTAAAGCAATCGAGTGAGCAGCTTGTCAGCAGTCACAATTTTGATATGATTGTTAATGTGCTTGCATGCCCAAATATCATGTCGGGCAATACGTGAATGATGAATCTTCTTTACAGCTTGATATATGTTCTTTCCCCAAAGGGGAGATGAGGGATTGTATTCTTGTGGAGCTGTCTTTGCTGACGGAGACCAGGCTGCAGGTGTCCTTAAACAAAGTCGAGGGGACCAAGACTCCCTGCCTGTACATACCGTGCATGTCCTGTATATGCCACGCAAAGCCATCCTCGCCTCGTTATGCTCAAGGTGTAAAGACTGCTTGAGCCAAGCCATGCTTTTCCTGCGTGTTTTGGTGAAGCCAGCGGTATGTGGGTCTTCGGTGTGCCTTTTTCCGGTACAGTGGCAAAGGCTATGTCACCCTGCGCTGGTTCGCTGTGTACCTTCTGGTGAGCTGGCCACGCAACGGACAGTTTTGTGCTTGACGGTGGTCCTCTTGGCGCAGCTGTGGTCATGTGTTATTGCAGACTCTGGGTTGGAAAAGCTTCAATGCCGCCGCCGGGTCTACAGGTTGCACGTTTTTGCAGTTTCGTTCGTCATACAGGACATTGATGCTTTCACTGTTGGGCTGCCGTTTCTTGTCGGAACTTCTTGCTGGAGAGACTCGTTGCGCAGCAGCAGTTTTGGGCAATTGCAGATCTGGGCAATTGCAGATCCTGGATTGGAACGCCGCCGCCGGGTTTGCAAGCTGCACGTCTGTGCTGCTTTCGCATGCCGTCCGGAACAGTGTCGTACAGGACATTGGGGCTTACAACGCAGGACTGTTTGTCCTTGGAAGTTTCCGCTTGGAGGCTGAACGTGTGCAAGTTGGATCTCAGCAGACAAGCCTGCGCCATCTGCGATCCCTTTTTCATAAAAGGACCGCGAGCTTGAACCGAGCATTTTCAAACTTTGGTTTCAAAACTTGGCATGGCTTGTTTTTGCACGTGACGATTTTTGCATTGACTGCAGCGCATCGCCTCGTTTGGTCTTGATGACACAACCTTGGTATGCAGCAGCTCAGTGCTCGAGCTGAGCTTTGAAAGAATTTTCTGCTGTCGAGCCTGGAGTCCACAGAGGTCTTGAACAGGTCTCCTTTGACGTTGCTCTTAGAGCGCCGTGCACACCAGCCCGTGTGGCTGGTAGATGGACGCTGGCCAGGCTGAGGCAGCGCTTCGTGCCATCGGGCAACTTCAGAGCGAGGTTGCTCAGGTGCCTGATTTGAGGCATCAGGTTGCTGTGCTTCAAGGTGATCTCACAGGTTACCATCACGAGGTAGCCCTCTTGCGTGCGCGCGTCGAGGAACTTGAGGCTCAGCAGGTCCGAGCCCGGCAGAGGCTTCAGTCACGGCCCTTAGGTTCTTCGGGGCTTGAGGTTCTGACTGAACGCGTGCTGCATCTTGGGGATTGCTTTCAGTTTCTTGTGCTTCAGCTCTGCCGGGTTTTTCCTGATACTCGTTGGCAGCCTCTTGACGAGGCTTGAGTGCAGCTCTCCCCAGCTCATGCCCCCTGCATCTTCTGAAGGTGGGGTTTCTGAGGCAGGTGACAATCGCCGGAGGGATGCTGCCATGGCCTTTGGGTCGTACGAGGCTCATTTGGCGTCTTGCATGCGCAAGTTCAATAAGACTGGGTTTGTCCGATCCTGGGATTTCAAGCTTAAGCCTTCTGCCAACTTGTTTGCCGGTATGGCACGTGCCAGCGGGCCCATGCCGCCTGTCATGTCTGTGCCAGTGCCCAAGGTGGTATCTTCCCAGGTTACCGTTGCTTCGGTTGTGAAGCTTGCCCTGGGCAGGGTCAGGCTGCAGGATTCTTGGAGTGAGCACCTTGACAAGAAGCTGCGTGCTGCCATTCAGAAGTGGGTGTCTATCGTCCTTGAGGATCCACTCACCTTTGATGTTGGCCGCAGGTGTGCTGCCGCGTCCTGCCAGGATTCCGCAGTCTCGCAAGGTTTGCTGCACACCTTTTCGGGCAAGGCTGCGGGTACACTGCACAATCGTGCGGGACCGTTGCTCCGTTTTGTGGCGTGGGCTAAGAAGCGGCGTCTCCAGCCGCTGCCACTGAGAGAGAAAGACGTGTATGAGTTCCTACTTGATTTGGAGGATTCCAGCGCGCCGTCTTTCGGCAAGGCACTCATGTCATCGTTGGCGTTTTGCAAGTTCGTTTTGGGTGCTGAGTCTTTCTCGGACTCCCTTTGCAGTGGCCGCCTTACAGGGCTTGCGCGTGCCTCTTTTCTTAAAAAGAGGAAGAGGCGACAGAAGCCGCCACTCACCGTTGCTATGGTCAAGAGGCTGGAGCGCCTTGTTGTGGATGAGTCAGATAATGATGTGGACAGGCTGTGCGCAGGCTTTTTCTTACTCTGCATTTATCGGCCCTGATGAATCTGGTTTTGGATGAGCCGGACTCTTTCATGGGACCACTTGCAGGGTACTTTCAAGGTGAGACTTCAAGGACGAAGACCAGTTTCTCCTTGGAGAGGAAAACAGCTTTGCTTCCTATGGTGGGGCCATTGTGCGGGGTGGCGTCCGTTCCTTGGTTCAGGACGTGGATGAGCCTTCGTGAGGACCTCGCCATTCCCGAGGGAGAAGATTTTCCTCTCCTGCCCAGCCGTGGTCAGGAGGGCGGATGGTCGGGTGTTCCGCCCACGGCCACTGTAGTAGCCGCTGGTTGGTTGCACGGGATTTTGTCTGCCAGAGGTTTCCCTGAAGCCTCAAAGCTTGGTACTCACAGCTGTAAGGCTACGACCTTGTCATGGATGTCAAAGTACGGTGTTGATGCGCTGCACCGGAGGATTTTGGGATATCACAAGGCTCCGCAGGATGAGATGATGCACATCTATGGGCGTGACAATGTTGCGCCTGCTTTGAGGTCTCTTGAGTACATGCTCGCCGACATAAGGATCGGCAAGTTCCTCCCGGACACCACACGTTCGGGCTATTTTCCAACTGATCCCGAGCGCGAACCAGGTCCGGAGTTCAATGATGAACCGTCGGCCTCGGAGGCGTCACTGGACGAAGAGGACAACGTCCAGGACCTTCGTGCTGAAGAGGCTGCGGCTGGAGATCATACCGCCGTGGGCCGAGTTATCTGTGGGAGACCCCGATGCCCATGTGTACATCAGGCACATCACTTCCCGCAAGCTTCACCGTCTCGCTGATGAGGGCGGGAACCGACTTCGTTGTGGGAAGAGGTGCTCAAAGAAGTTTGAGCGGCTTGCTGAGAGGCCTAGGTTTATGGCAGATATGTGCCAAAACTGTTTCAAGTGATTTGCGCACTTGTGGAAGCCGGTACACGCGGTGCTCGCCGGAATCACTCGGCGATGGTTTGATGTGCTTGCGCACTTGTGGTTTGCCGGACTGCGCGGCTTGGAAGTGGATGAGCTGGACCCACTCGGCTCACTTGTCAAACCCTTGCGGGTGTCATGATGTGCGTGAGTGCGTGATGCCACCGGTCCACGCGGTGGCACATGTACGAATTTCGGGCACTGGCCTGGTTTTGATGTGGCACCGACTTACTTGTCTGGTGTCATGCGAGTTTTTAGAACATGACTGAACACGATTGTCGTGTGAAATACTTGCCGGGCGCCGTCAAGTATGTGTTATCGTGCTGAACTTGTGTCCGACAGTCAGCGGTTTGCAAGTGCATTTGTCGTTTGCGGTGAGTGTGCACTTTGGCTGGAGACCCCATAGTGCCTTGACAGGTTTTGTGCCATGGCCGTCACAGAGAGCAAGGCAAACTTCTCTTCGAGGGCGAAGGCTCTTGGATTGGAGGATCCGGTGTTGGTGAAGTTCGTTGACGCTGGCATTGATTGCATGAGCAAGTATGCTTTCCTGAGCTCATACGTGCCCGGGAGCACGGATGAGAGCCCATTCACTGCTGCCATCGTCAAAGTGCTTGGGCGTGACCCTTCGATTGCGGAGCTCAGTGTGCTTCGCCGCTTGCTGCATGAGAGCTACAACCTAACTGTGTCTGAATTGCAATCACAGGTTGAAAGGACCGATGACTCTGCCCCGAGAAAGCTCGCGGCGCCCGACCGGGCCGATAGGTTGCAGCGACAGCAGGTTCGGCTGAGTGGTTTGACGATCCACGGCCCGACTCTTCCGGGTCATGCCGTGATTGATAAGTGCGTTCAGATGTACGAGGATAACGTGCTTCATTACTTGCCGCCTCAGTCGTGCCCTTGTCGTGATGATGAGGTCAAGTTCAAGAAGGATCGCGATGATAAGATGTTGTCCGTCGATGGTGCCGGTCATGTGTCTCTACGCACCCAGGTTGCGAAGGTCGATGCTGATGTGTCCTCAGACCTTCTCCTCAAGCTGGCATTGACCCGTCGAGGTTTGGCCCTAGACCAGGCAGGGATAGTCACCTTTTCGGAGCACGAGCGGTGGGTGGAAGCACTTTTTACCGCGCGTTTCAGGGATCCAGCTGACAACTATGCACGTGTGACTTTGCAGCAGCTTATGCAGGCTGATCGGCAGCTGTTTGTTGAAGCAGCAGATCGCACTCGGCATGGAATCCAACTTGTTTCTGACGGCAAGCCAGTTGATAAGATTTGGAACGAGGCAATGAATTGCAATAATGTCACACACCTTTTGCAGCCTTTGGTCGCAGCCCCTCCGGCTCCTTTCAGGCCTGGCCCGTATGATGACCGAAGGCCGAAGGCCCTGGAAGGGCAAGGGTAAAGGCAAGGGGAAAGGAAAGAGCAAGAACAATGTCCGTATGCCCGCTGAGCTTGCAGACGGAGTTCCGTCCACGACTCGCGGATTGCCAATCTGCTTCGACTTTAACTTAGGTCGTTGCCAGAGAGCTGTATCCAATGGGAAGTGCGAGCGAGGACTCCATGTCTGCTGCATCAAAGGATGTTTCAAGAGAGATCATGGATACACGGCGTGTCCCAAACGCAAGAAGGATTGACTAGGTGTGCAATCCATGGACCAAACGACTGACGAGAAAGATGCTGCACAGAGCGGTGAGCTTCTCGTGCGCTCTTCTTCTGAATGCAGTGTCCCTGAAGGGGAAGTTTTGCATGCAGGTCCTAAGGGGTTGCCTTCCGCTGAGGAATTCGCTTCAAGTCTGATTGGGAAGTGGATTGAACAGGCTGATGTTTTGAAGCTTTTCGATTGCCTCCCGAAAGCTGCTCCGCAACGCGGCTCCGGTGGCGGCATTTCTTTTACCACTGGGGCCTTTGCCAAGGTCAAGGTGGGACTCCGGAGCAATGTCGCTGTTTTTCCAAAGTCAACGCAGGTGCTGGCTGCTTTTGTAAGGCAGTCTGCTCCTGCCCATAAGTTCACAACCGGATGGTGTACGCACGGCCCCGCATCGTGATCAGCAGAATTCCTTCTTGCCTAATTTAGCCATTCCCATGTCCCGTTTCACTAAGGGTGCAATTTGGGTGCAATCCAGCAAGGGTCCCCACACTCGGACTGTTGATGGTGCAACGCTTCAAGGGGTGGCATTGCCTGTGTCGGATGGCCCTGTCCTTTTCGATGCACGCAGGCAGATTCACCTCACTGATTCGTGGCAGGGCAGGCGGGTCATTTTGGTAGCTTTTTATATTTCGGCCTTTGATAAGCTGTCTCTCGAGGCCTCGCAACGCTTGATTTCACTTGATTTTGCTTTGCCAACCGAGCCAGAGGTCGAGCACTTCCGTGAGCACCCACAGCTGCCTGCTCGCCTGCCGTGGCCGCCGCGTTTTCCTCTGCTGTCGGGTGCATCAGCCCCCAAGGCTTTGTCCGAGGTGTTGGTTCCCAAAGAACCACTTTTTCTTGAGCTATGTGCCGGCACCGCCATTCTGTCTCGTTGCTTTCGTGAAGCGGGTGTGCCTGTCATGCCCATTGATCACCAGCGCAACCGCCATCATCCGTTGGCGCAGGTTTGCAATCTCAGCTTAACCGAGGAGTCCACTTGGGTCTTTTTGCGCAATTTGGTGCGTGATCATCCTATAGTCTTCGTGCACGCTGCCCCGCCTTGTGGCACGTGCTTCTACTTTCATTTTCTGCTGCTCTTGCTATCAGGAGCAGTGCTGCTGCATGCTTCTGCAATTGGCACTGGCATGCTTAGTACCAAGTTTTGCTTGCTGTTGTGACTGATCAAAGCATCTGGGGCTCAAATTTGTTTGTAGGTGAGCGGGTGAGTGGTGCTGTGGAACGAGGCTCTGGGCCCTAAGAGGTTCCGAACAGGTCTCCCTCGACGTTTTGTAGCTTTCGCGCCATAGGCCAGGACTTGCATTCTGCGTTGGTGAGCCTGTGCCTTTTTCACTTTTCGAAAGCTGCGACTGTGACCTGTGGATGCAAGGGAGGAATCGGATTTTTGCGGGTCGCCTGAACCTGCCGCCTCCTCGGATCGTGGTCCTTCAGCTTCTTCTGTCGTGTCAGGGCATATTCCGGAACAGGGGACGTCTACAAATCCTGCACAGGACTTCTGGCCTGGATCTCGGTTTTCTCAGCAGCAGACTGGTTCTTCACATCTGGCTCAGTCATCTGGATTTCCGTTGTGCTCTCAGCTGGAACAGGGTTCTTTGCCTTCTTCGTCTACAGGACAGGGTGCAGGTGTTGTGCAGACAGCTCCGTGTTCGTCACAGTCGCTTGGTCTTCCGTTGCGCTCTCAGCTGGAACAGGGTCCTTCATTGCTGGGCAGTCAGGTATTGCCACTGGCAGATCACAGGGCACAGGGCATACAGCAGAGCATCTTGCAAGTGGATCAGTCGTCTGAACCTCTACCGTGCTCTTTGCAGGAACAGGGTCCCACATTGCCTCCCAGGGAGCAAAGTGCACAGCTGTACAATTCAAATTTGGACCAGTCGTCTGGATTTCCTTTGTGCTCTCAGCCGGAACAGGGTGCTTCGTTATTCTCTGCGGGACAGGAACTGACCTACGAAGACTATTGTGATCAGGTCGTATTGCAGGGTCCTTACAGCCAGACACAGCCATCAGGCCTTCCTTTGTACGCGCAGCGGGAGCAGGGTCAGCTGGCGATTTCTGGACACGATTTACCCACAGGGCGCTCGGAGTGGACAACGGAGCAGTATCTTCTGGCTATTCGGCGTGCGGGGGCAGTGGCATATTTGAGGCATCTCCTGGAACAGGGTTGGCCAGCACAGGACGCCAAGACCTATATTTTGTTGGCTTTTCGTGGTCGGGTTAACGCTGTTCTACCTGGAGCGCTGATTGCCAACTTGCTTCGATTGCTTCCAGCGCAGTCACAAGAGTATTTTCATCAGGAACTTCTGCACGTGCACCACAAGCACCACAACTCTCAGGTTTTCGCCGCCTTCTTGCAGCAGCGCGCTGCCGGGCGGCCTTTCTCTTCTACACCTCACCAATAGGTCGAGATGGCTCTCGACCAGCAGTGCCCCCCCGGGTCCCAAGTCCCGGGTCCGTGGAGTCCCATGCACTTGAATCGTCCGTTGTGCACTCAGACTGATATTGATCAAGCAGGGCACACCGATTGTCGCCTTCCGGATGTCTTTGAGTACATTTCACGCCACCCTTCAATCGTGATTGACAGGGTTTTATTTCCAAATTTTGTTTGAAAGGAAAAACGGGAGTTTTTCCTTTTGTTCCCCCTTTTCTTTTGCAACACGCGTTTTGAACCAACGATTTCTCATGCTTGTTGCGACAAACATCATTTCAACATGTTATGATGAAAGCAACTCGCAGCTTTCCGAATCAAGTCGGAAATTTTTTGTGTGGCCTTGAGATCCTTCTGCTGTGGTGCCGCACACCGTTGCCAGCGTTCCCCCGACGGAATAGTGGCTTGAGGGCTTGCTCTCGCTGCAAGGGGAGTGAGCACTGGTAGGTGTGGCAGGCCACCCGGTAGACACGTCTAGGATCTTTCTACAAGGCCCCAGGTGCTAATCCGGTGCTTCTAGCGAGTGGGGTGGGTCGCTGCATGGAATACGAGGACAGTGAGTCCTCAGTTTCTTTGGCAAGTACCTCAGCGAGCTCTCACTTTAGCGATCTCAGTTTTGATTGCATCTTTGCCTCGGGACCCGCGTGCAAAGTTCGAGTGACGATTGCGCTGTGGAACTTCCTGGATCCTGCAGCCAGAACTGCTCTGCTGACTTCGAGTGCTGCCACACGCAGCGATTTCTTGCAGGAAATCCTCTTCATTGCAATTAGGGCTGGTCTGCAGCCCCTGTCGTGAGAACGGCCTCGCTTCAGGGCCTTGGCTCGTGGGGTTTCTTCGATGGCTGCTGAAGCTTCGGCCTCCGATCTCTGTGATCGTTTCGAGCGGCACCTCCAGCACTTGACTTATGATGTTGTGGCCCCACTCAGCTATCCCTGGGACAGGAATAAGGCCTTGTCTGCCATCTTCTCAGGAAAACCAGGCAGAAGCGTCGACCTCCATAGCGTCAAGGTGCCTAGAGTCGTGCCGCCGCCAGCCACGCAGTACAGGCGGCCGGGTGATTCAGTCGAGCCGCTGCCGATGGCTCTGCCGTGTGCCAAGGTTTGCCCGTCTTTGAGATTGTGCTTAAGAAACCCAGGCTACAGGCAGGCGAGAAGGCCGGAGTCGATCGAGAAAATGTCCTACGTCGGTGGCTCTGTGTTCTGAGCCACTCACCTGGTGCCTCGAGGTTGGGGGTTCTCATTTGGGCGAAAGGCGAATCTGACCCCTTGGGGGTCGTGGCGCAGGCCTTGGCTGGGAAAGCTACATCGACTCTGCTTAAGCGAGCCCGTTTTTCTGCACGATTCATTTGCTGGGCCGACAAGCATCATGTGAAAGCTTTCCCGGTGAGCCTCGAGTTTCTTGTGAGCTTCCTCAAACCACTTGCAGCCGAAGCCAGGAACAGTGCCATTCGTGAGGCTATGGAGACTGTGAATTTCCTGGAACATGTTCTAGGAATTGAGGTCGAGCAAGGAATCGGCGACAACCCTTGGGTCAAGGGAGCGCTGCGAGGAGCCAACATTCGGACCTGTGACCCGAAACGATCGAGAGTCCTGAAGGTCGAGGAGGTGCTTCTCCTCGAAGGAGCGCTGATAGAGGGAGCCCTTGACAAGGTGGACAGGTACGCCACTGGAGTCTTCTTGTTCCAGCTTTACTCCAGGGCTCGAGTGTCGGATCTGAGGAACATTTCGAAGCTTGAGCTTGACCTTGATGGCGATACGGGTTTCATCGAAGTCAGAACCTATGAGCACAAGAATTGCCGGCTGAGCAGTGGACCGGGGGCCGTGCTCATTTTGGTTGCGCCGTATCATGGGCTTCACCAGAAGCCTTGGGGCGCCGCTTGGGTAGAGGCAGCGAAGGCCGTTGGCTTCGACTTCGAGAAAGGGCATCGCGGGCCGTTGCTCCCCCGCCTTGCTTGCGATCACTCTTGGAGCGGGGACGCCATCGATGCCAACGAGACCACTACATGGATCAGGGCGTTGCTTTCACGGCTGCAAGCGGCCGAAGAAGATCTTACATTCTCCTCGCACGGATTGAAGGCAACGCCGCTTTCCTGGACCTCGAAAGCTGGATATAGCTTAGGTCCAAGTGGGAAAACGCAAGAAGCTTACGCTCGCGAAGTGCAGGCGCAGCCGCTACGAGACCTTGCAGAATGTCTTGGTGCCATCCGGCAGGGGGTTTTCCACCCGGATCGCACAAAGAGCGGGATGATTGCAGATGGTGCGACCATCCGTGAGTCGCGCTTCTCTTTGGCACCCATGGGTCGTGCCAATCCTTCGCCATCTCACGAGAGCTTCGAGTGTGCTCCCGAGGTTGAGCTGGCCGAGGATGGAGGCGTAGAGCCTCTTGATGATCAGGACTTGGGTGAACAAGAAGACGTTCACGAAGCCTCGAGCAGCAAGTCCGAGAGTTCTGGTGAGTCCGAGGAAGAGACTCATTATGAGAGTTTTGGAGCAGGCGAAGCGCAGAATGCGATCCCGTCTGTGAACATGGGTCCTGATTTAGACATTTTTCAGAACCCGAAGACCAAGAGCCTTCACTCACGAGCGAAGGGTTCTGCTGGCAAGTTGATCTGTGGAAGGTCGCTTGACAATATGAAGCCTTTCAGTGGAAAGGTCTTCAGCAGTAGATGGTTGTGCAAGCAATGCACAGCAGGCCGACCCCTCCGCGACGCAGGGGCCATGGCGAGTTTCATCGCTAAGAAGCAGGGCGCTTCTAAGTGAGAAATGTCGTGTGACGTGCGATGCTTGCGGATCACCACTTCAGTGTTTCGCTGAGCTTCACAGTCATGTCTGATGGTCGAGTGGTCAATTGCGCACCGATCCAGAGCGTGGTTCGGAGACTCGTTCGGGCGAACAAGGGTTTCAGTGGAACCTTTGGTTTACCTCGTGGCTGCCACGGGGTCCGGACGGGCGGACCAAGCTCGGCGATGCGATGATGACCAGCAGTGCGTTGTCCACATGCAAAGCTTGCAATCGCTGTGTGCATGATTGATCCTTTGCATGTGCATGTCTCAAGACACACATAGGATCGGAGACCATGGCGCAAACCCTTGTAGAGTCTAAGGCCGTCTTCCTGGAGCGAGCCAAACGTGTGGGCCTCCCACAGGAAGCAGTGGATCGCCTTGTTGCACAGACCATCGACACGATGGCGAAACTAGCGTTCGCCCCTTGCCAGCCCGGGGAGACGCCGACCGAGGAGTCGCTGGCGGCCCTCATCAAGGTGGGAGGTGCAGCCCCGTCGTTGGGATCCATCGCAGCGGTTCGACACCTGGTGTTCGAAGCACAGACCCTCTTGGTCAGCCAGACCAAGGCACTCGTTGAGAACAAGGAGAACGAGGTCAAGGAGTTAGCCCCCGCGGAGCGCCGCGAGCGCATCCGAGCACAGGCCCGCAAACTTACAGGCATCACCATGTCCGGCCAGACTGAGTGCAGCTACGCCTCGTATGACCTCTGCATGAAGCTCCTTACTGACAATTGCATCAGCTATCTTTCCCCGGCCAAGTTCATCACTCGCGAAGCTGAGCTGCGTTCCGAGAAACCGCGGAAGGAGTTGGATGTGCAGGCTTCAACACTGGTCGTCGTGACCCCGATCAGTCATGCGATACTTCCACTGCACTGAGCCTTCACCATGCCACGCACCGTCGAAGCCTTGCTCTTGACTTGATCGGTGTGACTGATTACTTTAGGGTTCAGGGCTTCGTGGATTTCCTCTTGGGCCACCTTCATCAGGAGCCCATTGCTGGTAGCCGTGCCACCTCTGTGCAACAAATTCTGCATGCGGACCGTGCTGCCTGGATGCGCCTGGCAGAGCTCACCCCCGACGGGATTCGTCGAGATGCAGCCGGGGCTTTGCCTCTTGACAGTTTGTGGGCCCGCTTGCAGACTGACCCGAAGGTGATTTTTCATCTCCTCCCGCGAGAAGGTGGAGCCCTCAAACGAGAAAACAACGAGATCAAGCCTGAGCTCACAGACACCCCGACCAAAAAGCAGCGCAAAGGTACTGGCAAAGGAAAAACCAAGACATTGCGTGAGCCCAGCAATCTCCCAGAAGAACTCAAGGGCCTTTCGTCTTGGACTAAGACCGGAAAGCGCCGCTGCTGGGGATTCAATATGGCTAGTGGGTGCGCTAATGCCAAGGTCGGCCAATCCTGCCCCAGGGGTCTGCACAACTGCATGCGTTGTTGTGGCGGTCACCACCCTGCGCATGCGTATCCAAAGAAGCCATGAAGTGCATGCCTGCCTGAGCCCGACAGCGTGCCACCACCGTGTTTTCCATCGCCCAGTGTTTCATTGGATGCTTCACTGAGCGCCTCAACCCCGCAAGCATCAGCCGCTGCACCCAGCAAATCACATTGTTTTCCTTCGAGTCCTGCTGAGGCTGCGAGCCCTGTGGAGGGGCCGCTACTTGTTGCCGGACACTCTCATTGCGGTGCTGATGCTTTCAGGATCGATTCCTTCTTCTGCATTGAAATTTTCTCAGGCTCAGGCAGGCTTACTGCTGAACTTCGGCGTGCGGGGTTCCGAGATAGCATCGGAATCGACCATGTTGCCCCAAAGCAAATGATTTCTCCCGTCCTTAAGCTGGACCTCCTTGATCCCGAACATGTAAAGATGGTTCTTGATCTGATCGATTCTCCCTTTTGCCTTTATGTCCACATCGCTCCCCCTTGTGGAACAGCGAGTCGTGCTCGTGAAATTTTTCGTCGCGGTGAAAGCCTACCTGCTCCCGCGAGAAGTGACGTCCACCCGGATGGGCTACCAGACCTCACTGGCGAGCTCCGCGTTCGCGTTGCTAAGGCCAACGATCTTTATGCCGTCACTGGCAAGATCTTTGCACACTGCATCCGTACTGGGAAGCTCGTTTCTTGTGAGAATCCAGGCCGCTCTTACTTCTGGCAAACGACCATGTGGCTCACTGCCGTTGCCGACCTGGAGTTTGAGGAAACCCTTTTTCATAACTGCCAACACGGCGGCGAGCGTGCCAAGCTCACCCGCCTAGCCCATAATGTTCCTTTGCTACACGAGCTGTCCCTTCTCTGCCCGGGGGAATCAACATCTCATCGCCACCTGCCCTGGTCGCGATCCTCAGGTGCCTTCGACACAGCCGCCGAGAAGGTCTACCCTCGTGTGCTCTGCCAACGTATGGCCGACATCATTGTCCGTGCTGCCGCCGAACGTGGCCACACTGCACCCGCTTCATGCCTTGCGCCTGGTGCTGCCCTTCCCCTGCGTGAGTCTCAGGTTGCAGCTGGTGTGCAACCTCGCGGCAAGCGTGTGCCACCCCTTGTGCCCGAGTTTCGGCAGATTGTGGTTCTTTTTAGTCCTGAACCCCTCTTTCCCGGCGTGCGTAAGCTGGAAGCCGATACCCCCCTTCCACCTTGTGTCTCATGCTCGCCCTCACTGCCGACGCTTCCCGCGGGCACTCGGATCCTGCGCCAGAGTGTCATTGCGGTTGTGCCAGCTGGAGCGCAGAGATCGTGCTCGAGTAACTCAGCCGCCTTGTCCACACCTGTGTCGCATCCCACAGTTGCCCCGAATGCCGAGGCGGAGGACGATGGAAACTTAGCCATCATGGAGGGCGACCAGATGGACCCCGAAGCTTTCTCGCATTATGCTCTCCACTTGGGAGCGTCAGCCAGCAACGAAGCATGGCGTGACTGCATTTGCCACTTGTGTGATTTACTTGTCTCGGATACCCCGTCTAGGGGCGGACGAGGCACTGACGAATTCTCTTGGTCATGCGGTGCTTTCTTTCATGCCAACAAGGTGGGCCTGCGTTCCAATACCTCATCGCACCCCAGTGTGAGCAAACTCTTGTGCGAGTATGTGCGCCGGGTTGCCCCGGGCCACCCTTTCACCTCCCTGATGCAGGGCAAGAACCTCGCAGGCAAGGTGCATGCCGATAGAAACAATGAGCCAGGACTGCCGAATGCAGTCTTGAAGATTTCCTCCTTCGAGCAAGGGGGAGTGTGGATCGAATCACCTCGTGGCTCCGTCGCTTGTCCTGATCCTGGCCACCCCGAGCTTTTGGGAAATGTTCTTGACTTCGAGGGCCGAAGGATAATCTTTGATCCGAGTGGTAGACATTGTCAAGCTCCATGGTGTGGGGGACCTAGGATCACGCTTGTTGCCTATGCGATACGCGATCACCACAAACTTCTTGACGATCAGAAGACACGGCTTGTTGACCTTGGTTTCAGCCTCCCTGGAAGCTCCCCAGAGCGCTGCCCAACAGCCGGTCCCGTGGCAGCCACCCGTAAGTCTGGTTTAGGCCCCAGCTCTTCGACTAGGCCACCACCTGGGATCCCGTCCCGCAGCATGCCAGAAGGTGACCGAATGCACAAGGTGGCCGTGGGCATCCCTTGAAAACCTCAGGAGTTCATCGAGCAAGCACTGAAAGCTGGGCACCCCCGTCACCTCTTGGACGGTGTGCCATCGCATTCCAAGACGGCCATCGACCGCCTTGCTGACATGTCGCTCCACGAGATAGGAGCCCAACGCACCGAGAGGCTCCGGCATTGGATCAGCAAGGCCCGTGAGCTGGAAGCCGAGGAAGAGGAGCTGCGTGACTCAATGCCGCAACATTGCAAACGTGTCCTGGGTCGGAAGCGGCTGGTCCTTTTTAGGACCATGCTCGAGGAGTGTGGCCACGAAGACCTAGAGATAGCGAATGACATCGCCAAGGGTTTTGACCTCAGTGGTGCGATCCCGAGGAATCCAGCATATCGCCCCAAGTTGTCACCCGCTTCTTTATCCGTCTCTGACCTCCGGAGCTCTGCGGCTGTGATGAGGGAAGCAACTCTTCTCGCCACCAAAAGTTCTGGGGACCCAGAACTTGATGAGGCCCTCATGGCAGCCACTGACAAGGAGGTCGCCAAGGGGTGGTTGCGAGGACCTATCGATCCTGCGTCGCTAGGTCCCAATGCTGTTCTCTCGCGCCGCTTCGGCGTTTGGCAGGGCGGCAAGTGTAGGCCTATAGATGACTTCAAGGCCTCTGGGGTTAACTCGACGACTTCAGCCGAAGACTCGGTGACTGTGCACACGGCGGATGCAATCGCCGCTTCCATTGCTTACCGTCTCAAGCGCGACCCAAAGTGCCGACGACACGGCGGGCTTGAGATGAAATCTTATGACCTACACAAGGCGTATAAGAATCTTCCCTTGAGCACTTCGGCGGTGGAAGAAGCTTATCTCTCAGTGTACAACCCCCGGTCGGGGAAAGCAGAGATCTACGAGCAGTGCGTGTTGCCCTTCGGCGCTCGTGCGTCGGTCCACTCGTTCTGCAGAACTTCGCTTGGCATCTGGACGATTGGGGCGATTCAGCTGGCTTTGATGTGGTCAGTATATTACGACGACTTTGTCGGCAACGAAGTCCCGCCACTTACACGGCTCTTTGACCTTTGCGCTGAATCGCTCTTTCAGATCCTTGGCTGGGACACGTCTCCAGACAAGCCTACCATCTTCGGAAGCGTGGCAAAAGTCTTAGGCCTGGAGTTTGACTTGCGTGAATCCTACCTCGGCAATTTCTATATGAGAAATACGACAGCTCGACGCGAGGAGCTGAGGGAGAGTCTTTCTTCTATCATCGAAAAAGGGGTGCTGGCTAGGAAAGACTGCGAGAAGCTGAGGGGCCGCCTGCAATTTGCCGCCAACCAGGTTGCTGGGAAGAAGGCTGGCATCGCATTCAAGATCTTGTCCAAACATCTTACGGAACGAAGCCC